TGAAGGTTCATCGAAATTTTTGCCACATTATTGGGTAGTGATTATTTGATCGTATTTTTCTCGAGCTTCCGATGTTTCTAATTGTCACAAACTTTGAGCACCTGAAGTAAAAAAATAGTTGAGTATGGCTCTATTTTTTGATAAAAATAAAATAATCAAGGAGAATTACCCGTACAAACGTTACATGTTTTTGAACATGTCTCGATATCAATAACTTTTGGTGAAGGACAGCTAGACAATAAGGCAGCAGCTCCATGCTTGCTTGCGAAGTCCTCAGTTTGCCATGTTCCATCACCGCTTACTGTAATATCAGTACTTTTGGCAACCTGAACTGCTGCTTGTGCGGCTTTGGCATAGATTCGGTTGCAAATGGTTTAATCAATTGTAATAATTCTTTATCCCATATATAATGACGTCCTTCCTCGAGTGGTGGTGGTAACTTTAGTGCTGCTGAGATTTTTTTCAAACCAGCGTGACGAATACCGGTTAAATGACCCGCAAATTGAGCTCTCACATTGATTTCGTGGTGTGTAGAACCTGGTACTTGAGGACTCAAATCTAAAAATTAAAAACAATATATTTGAAAATAATGAGATCGTTGAGAAATATGCGTGTCATGATACCTACTTAAAAAAATTTTATTACTGCAAAAATCACATTCAAAGCTGAGAATGATAAAGAGTCCTTCTCGTTTGTTTATGTAAACTTTTCCATCCCATTGCTTTTCGCATAATTCACATTTGGTTTTTGATAATAATGATAGTAATAGTTCATTTTGGATGATGGAATATCCATCCAACGGTGCATCACAAACAGATGATAATTTGTTATACTTTTCTTGCTTTCTGACAATTTTCTGACTTGAAGCAGATAATTTACGTTTACCGGTAGTTTGTAATGAAGACGATGATGATGGTAGTTTTGATACTGATGATTTGGATTTTGAACGTGAATTTTTTATGTGCGGTCGAGATCTATCAATAAAATTAGGTATTTTATGATTCTACGTGAAGAAAAAAAAGATACTTTCTGCAACGGTGTTTTGAGTATCGTTTGTTGGCCATTGTTATACTAAGTAAGAAATCGTTAGGCTATTGCATGTCTATTTGAACTGAAATCAGTCTATGTATAGGCCGGAATGATGAACGAATACATGAATATAAAAGGGAGATAGATATCATGAAAGCAAAGAGAGAGTGATTACAAAAACCTGGAAAATATAGTATGAACACATAGAGATATAGAATACATAGAGTGAATACATAAGATCTAGGGTTAGATAACGAGCACAGTTATACTATGATCTAACCTAAGGTAAAAATCATAATAGGCATGTTGAATGGTTGCTTATATATAGCATAGAAATAGAAATAAATCTAAAAAGCTATTTGCACAATCCGTGCGGGATTAAAATGGGAAACACGATCGAGCTGCTCACATCGTAAATAAGGAAATTTACCAACATATCTGTTATGGTCTGTGATGGAGACGTTCCTAAGGCATCTGTCACGATTCGTGATAGGAAGAGGCGTTGCTAGAGTGTTTGTCACGGTCTGCGGCAGCGAAGAGTCCAAATTTTTACCCTTCTACTTCAACACTGCTTGTAGACCATGTTTCACAAAAATAGAGATACACATCACGATATCGGTATTGAATAACATAACAAAGTGAACCTCTGAGCATGATATTCAAGGTACAAACGCAGCTAATTACAACTCAATGCATAGTATTATTCTATGAGATTGACCGCCTTTGTTTGTGTACATATCTATGGTTAGAGCACCTCTGAAATTTTTCAAATAAACAAACAATTTCGAAAATACAATTCAATAGATGGCAGTATATCGACTCTTACGTAGCACCTTAAACACCATTTGATCATGGCAAAGGGATTTGTTTATATAGCTTCTGTCGAGTGTTCGACGA